CTATTATTCATCGTGCTATTCTATATGCTATCCATGCTACAGTTAAGAGTGGTGGTAAGTAATTTCTGTTCTGACATTGCTATGGACACCCACACCCTGACGTAAAACTATCCAAATCTAAAAAGTTCTTCGAAAGATATCCTTATTGTGTGTGTGAATGTTGATCTGCTCTCTTTCGTCATCCATACCCACACATTCTCAAGATATGAGACATTATATCTTGAATTTTTTCTCATTTTTCTCAAGTTAGAATGATATCATTTCATTTGAATTGTAAATTTTTGCAGATAAATTAGAATCTTTTCTTTCCATTTTCGTTTGGCTCCAAAACTGTGGTACAAAACCAAGAAGATACAGAAAAGGCATCGTAGCAGCAATGTATTGCGGAATGCTTTGTTGCGTTGCGCCCCAGATGCTAACACAGATAATAAGTACTATACAGCAAACAAGAAACCATAATGTGTAAAGAATATTCGAATGTTGAGGAGCTTTCGATCGTCGTAAAAAGAGGTAGAAAACAACAATAGTATGCAATGAACAATACGTCGAAAGGAGTGAAAACATTGCAATATCCCCTGCCAGATGAAGAGGAATATTATGATCTAAACTCACAATAGCCATGATCAGAAGAAATACGGATGCAATAAGTGATGTAGCATGGATAGCATATAGAATAGCACGATGAATAATAGATAGTGATTAAAGAAGAAAATGAAGTCGACCAATAAGAATTAATAAAAATTGTGGGGTTAAAATGACAAAGCCGGAAACAAAGTATTTATAAGCAGGATCCGTTCCAAGTACAGATATGTTTGGCAACTTCACTGTTGACCATGAGTTCTGTTTTAACACTTTACTGCACACTACTAACGTTAACAAAAATGTGATCATAGTTGTCAATGGCAAAATAAGTAAAGACCAATACCAGATTAGTGTCACCATTCGATTCATTCTATGTTAAATAAGAAATTTCAAATAACTGCTGCGTGTATAAAGCCTCTGAAACAAAATTTCAAGAATAACTTTTCTTGTCCTACTGTCGTGGCGTTGTTTCTTTTACTATGACAAATTTTGTTTCTTATCATCTTGCTTTAATAAAAAAGCGACTGTTTCAAAAATTTGTTGATTTATTGGTATTCATAGGAGAAAAAGCTGTAAAATAAAAGAACAAAATATTGTTGATTCCTTCTCATAATATTTATGGTGCAAAAATAACACTATAACGTAATTTCTTCTCCTTTCTTTTGTGAGCACATGTGTCTAGTGCAAATAGCATTGTATCTGGTTATTGAACAAAAAACAAGAATATTTACCATATTTCTTTTTTTTTAGAGTATTAACTATGACTTAGCAGCCTATCGTCGAGAATAATAAATAGTATTTAAGTCTCTGGACATATTTTCTTAAGTAACACACTTGGTCACAATATCACGGAGTAAAAAAATTGCAGCTGAAGTCGTTAATCAACGAGATGGCACTCATTTTATTCGAATTTTTCAACAGCCTTTATGCACATACTTCGTGCTTTTCGCGATATTAGTTCTCTTTTGGTCAACGACATCTTTCATCAATTATCAATCGACTTACTTCACTCTAAGTCTCGGAACAAGCCGTCCAGCCCGATGCTTTTATCATTTTTCTTACTTTTTACCTAACTATATGCTCTTATTTTAAATGCTAGAAATTATCAAAATACTTTTACAATAGAATCAGTACGTCGTCAATTTCATGCATGAGATTCTACTCGATTCGATTCGATTCGATTCGATTCAGTAGCATTTGTAGTAATCAAAAATTAGCCTCTAACACAATATATCTCATACGCATGCAGTTTCCTCTTCTAGTGTCATACCTTGCTAATCTAGGATGCGACACAATACTTTTTTTTAATGAACTTTACTTATCCAAAATCATTTCACTGAATAAACCAAACAGTTCAGAGACCAATCTGTTTCGAGAGAATAATTCGTAAAAAATAATATCTTCATTTCTAAAAACCTCTATCAATGCATACCAACATGTTTCTAAAGAATAATACGAATTGATAGTTCTACATATATCATCAATTGTACTTATAGTTGTAGGTGTGAGTGTGGATGGGTATGAGCAACTTCTGTATAACTATCTACATCTACACCCACCCCACCCCCACATCCTCACGCACACCTACCCACACCCAATCCGGGATAGAAATCGAAGCTTATTTAGTTGACTAAGAACTGGATACAGAACTTAAAAATTCGAAATTAGATTATTTTAGTTTCAAATTCATTGATGTTACAAAAACTGTTTTATTCTTAAAGAACAAGAACTCCATAGGATTATATGGTGTATCAAACAAAATTATAAAATCCCTACCTTTACTTAATCTGACATCCATTACTTCCGCTTTTAATTTTATGGCTCAAAAATGTATGTTTTTCTCGTCATGAACTTGTTGCGAGAATGATACTGTTGTCCAAGTCGAAAACGCCAATAGTGGATATAAATAATACACGTTCAATTTCATCACTTTCATGTTTTTCGAAGTTGCTTGAGAAGTTGTTTCTTATACACATTCGCGAGTAGATTTGGGATAATGGTATACTATGGGAAGAACAAACTAGTTTCAGGTCATGACATAATGTATCCACTAGAACTGTGTCGATTGTTGATCAAATTGCACAAGGTCTTGCACTAAATGCCATTTCTGTTACGCTATTCATCAGTTTCAAGTCTGACTTTAATCAATTATGGATTAAAGCTCTTTGGATCAAAGTTAAACACCTGAAATGCCCTATTTATATTATTGTGTAGTTAAGAAATTAGTTAATAAGTCGTTCAGTCTTTATAGAAATTAAATGTATCAAGTCAAATGATTTGCTATTATTTAAAAGTGTTCTTCATGATTCTTTCGTAGGCCCAGTATTATCTATTGGGTGTGGATGTGAATGCTCATGACAAGATAATGCACACACACACCCACACCCACCCTACAAAAGTTTATCTAGCAGCCATATGCTGTCCCAGATACTCTCGTATTGATTATATTACGCATATATTCGTCCCTAGTACCAATCTGTTTTAAATATTTAACCAATACTAATTCTTACAAAACAATTAGAAACGGAAGCGTTAAATCGTAGAATTTTGCGCACCATACATAGATGACATGATATTACGAACGATGAAATAGCCAACCTTCCATCTTACAAATCAACAGAGTTGATGACACAAATGCATATTTCCAAACTGTTGTTCACAACGATTCGTACTAATCCTTCAATCATCGCTGATTTTATTCAACATAAACTATAACTGTTATTCTTAAGGAAGTATTTCTTGACTCTTGCTTTACTGAAGAAAAAAGCAAACAATTGTAAGAAGAAGAAGAATATCGAATCGTATGCGACACTACTATCGTCTTATAAACAATCTCTTTTTGACCAAGGTTTTTGCTTTACATAAGAAAAACAAAAAATCAACACCGAGGAACTTCAAAGATATAGATGAGGAACCAATTTCTATTATATTAAATATTATATACATACTACTATTAAAACTTATCTTATGAGTGACGACTCAAGGAGATCGAATAGTTGACATGTTGTGTAAATTTTTATGCATAACTTCTATTCATTATAATTGTATTCTCTTTTCACGTGAGTTTCTTTTACATATAGTGATACTTTATTCTTATAAGGTTGCTTTTTGTAAGACTGCAGAGATAATGTTCGTCTAAGTTGTTCTTCCTCTATTCCTTATGATACTATTTATTCTCCACTTCTTACGATAAATAAAATTAATATATTTCTACTACTACTACTGAATAATCTTCCACAAAAAATTACGGAGTAAAGTTTTAGTTTTTATCAAACATGATATTTTATGCATGAGTCATTAAAATACCCTGAAAAGATTTGATTCTACTAGGATTTTCGAGCATTATGCTAAATGAACTTCATTCGAGTTTGATTGATTCTTACTCTGAATTGATAAATGTATAGCAAAGGCATATATAATATTTCAGATTAATTGTTTTAAATAGCCTATAATGCAATCTTCAAGAGTTCACATATTACTTAAATCGAAATTTCACTGGAGCAGATCTGTATTGTAACCATATGAGCTTTTGTGCAAAAGACATACAGAATCATGAGCGAAGCGACAGCAGAAAACATGTTAAAAGTCGTCCTAAAGTTGATTTTGTAGCTTCACAAGAACGATTTGTTCTCGGAGTGTTTTATGCGACCAAAGCGTGTTTTAGAGAAGACTTTTAGAAAATAATGTAAGGATCCATTTATTAATGAACAATCTTCTATTTCGATATAAGTCAAGAAAAGGAAAATCTCATCTAGTATTTTTCGCACGATTAGATAATGAGAATAACAACGATCAAAACAATGTCCAGCGTTTCTCAGTAAAACTTGTGCGCTCCTATTGTATTTAACTGGACTCAATGCATATCTAGACTATAATACGATCTTTCATTCTCACCGACCTGAATTTTAGAGTTTAATATGCTCTTACATTGTCTCCTAGCTTTAAAGCAAACTTTAAAAATTGGGAAGGTGCAAACAGAAATGAAAATTGTAAGCCGTTATTATTCATATTGAAGTTCAAGTGTGAGAATATATCGAGAACACGAACATGTTTCTATACTGTAAAATGCACATTTTTAACAAAATTAGCCTGAAAATCTGATCCATTCTAATATCAAAGCATTTAAAGCTTGAGCAACGAGGATTGTTATATCTACGTCCACTACAATCGAACTGAGGGTCATCTAAAAAATCAAGCATCGCTCTATATAGGAATTAGTGATGTAGATTAAGGAAAGTTCTTCAATAATACATAGAGTATGATAATGTTAAATGTAAACGATTTCTAACAATATCGGAGTCTTTCACGGATTTGGGAATGGATCCTTTGCAAGTCAAATAGAATTTTCAACATGCTCATATCGTCCAATAGCCATTATTCCCGTTGATTTCAACAATGACTCAGTACTTGATATTGCCATGACGAATCACAGAACTCACAGTGTTAGTATATTCTATGGATATGGCCATGGAAAATTTTCACTTCCAGTGATATATACAACAGGTTATGATTCTCTACCATCTTCATTAGCCTCTGGAGATTTCAATAACGACAACTATATAGATCTTGCTATTACCAATTATGACACCAATAATGTTGGCATACTTTTTGAAAACAGCAACAGAACTTTTGAAAAACAAATCGTATTTTCAACTGAACTTGATTTCCATCCATATTCAATTGCTGCTGGTCAATTTAATGACGACGAATTTGCTGATATAGCCATCGCCAATTCTGAAACACATGAAATAGGTGTACTTTTGAACAATGCCAATAGAACTTTCGCTAATCAAGCTACCTATTCAGTTGGTTATGCTTCTCCATATACGGTCGATGTTCAAGACTTCAACCAATAAAATCGACTAGACAACGTCATCACTAATAACGGCCTTTAAAATATAGGTGTACTTCTTGGATACGGAAACGACCATTTTCAAAAGGATGGGTGGGATGTGGGTGTGGGTGTGGATGCTCATGACAAGATAATGCACACCCACACCGACACCCACACCCACCACACCCACACCCGTACCCACACCCACCACGCCCACATCCACCCACACCCACACCCCACAGCGACGCCCACACCCAAACCCACCCACACCCACACCCACACCCACCCCACACCCCAAGATAGAGATGTGCTTTGAAATCTTTTTGTCAGATTCGTTTCAATCATCGCTTCTCAACAAGAATTTTACAGTTTTTCAGCACGAACTAATGGCTAATTTCTTTCTCAGATCGATTCGAAAATATGTGAGAGATTTGATTGGAAAAAAATTACTTCAAAAACTTTTCAGGTGCACATAAGTCATGTTTAAGTCGCGAAGCTCTTTGTATCAGACATAGTTCGATAGAATTTGAGTTTTAATTACATTGTAGTGTATAATCTTTTTATATCAATTTATATACCAAGATCACATACGGCTTTGATAGTTCACAAGATCTTACACAGTCAGCAAGGTCAGACAAACGGATGCTATTAAAAATGTTTGAGAGGAAAAATTGAAAAACTGAAGCTGTAGAGACTCAGATGGCAGACATAATCAGGAATTCTTAGGCAGCTGTCTACATTAGATATTAGCTAAGAGGAAAGTTTCTGAAATAAAATCGATGCTATTCTTTTCTCTCTCTCTCTCTCGTTATACAAAGCACATATCCCTGGGCACTGAATCTTTATTTTAGTCAATAAGCAAGACACATTGTATCCTTGTTCAAATCACTGATAGAAATACATGATGCATGAGAGACAATAATTATTTTCGTCAATCGAACGTGATGGTGACTGCAACATGTCGGGGTATGATGGTAAGCATAAATGAATGTCCACCAGCATTGACTTGAGGGCCACCATCACCGAATGTTACATATTGCATCAGTCTTGCTGCAATTACTTTCAGCTCAAATTGCGCTAAATCTTGTCCAATACATTGACGATGACCGCTACCAAAAGGAATGAATGCATAAGCATGATGATTCTTGTCTTCATTCAGATATCTTTCGGGATAGAAGAGTTCAGGGTCGATTGACCAGTATCGAGTATCCCGTGCAAGATTGTGCAATGGAATAAAGACTTGATCACCTTTCACCAATTGAGCTCCACTTTCGGGCAGACGATCATCAACGGTCAAAGTGCGAACTGTTGCGTTGATGGGTGGACAATATCGAAGTACTTCCTTGAGAACACAATCCAAATACACCAATGAGTCAAGACGATCCAGTGACAAATCTTGTTTGTTATTGTCACCCATCAGTTCAGTCTTGATCCTCTGTTGTACCCGAGGATGTTTGCTCATGAGATAAATAAACCATGCCACAGCACTGGCAGTAGTTTCAAAACCGGCCACCAGGAAGAAAAGCATTTCATGCAACAGTTCACTCCGTGATAGACCTGTAAACAGCCACAAATATTGGAAGAGCGTTCGAAGTCGCTTTTCTTAGCCATATACTGATTTGTCATTGAATTATTCGATTTAAGGTGAAAAGGAGAAGTTGTTAGAGTGAATAGAACTAATGAGGAAAGGTCCCCAAATATCAAGTCACTTTTTAACTGAGTATATGCTCAGGCAATAGACCTCAATGAATGAGGGCTGGATAGCTTCCCCTCTCAAAAGCAAACTGTTCCACTTCGAGCAGAAATGCTTAAACCACATAAAGTCAAAAGGAAACGCTTTTCTTCCACGAGACTACCTTCATTCGACTGCATCACTAAACAAGACAACGAACAATAACAAAGAGAACTGCTACATCAATTTCTCCATTCACCAGCACAAATTGAAAACACTTCGAGAGATATGGATTCTAGTGGAAACGGATTTTTCCTATTAGAAATCATTATTTTTTAAGGGGAAGTGCTTCATTCATATCACCACTCGCAAGGAGAAATCGAAAAGAGTAAGGGAGAAATGGATCATTTTTTTTTCATCTTAAAGGATGTTTCTAGTAGAAATGGATTTTTTCTATGAGAAACCATTATTTATTAAGCAGAACTCCTTCATGTATATCTTCGCTTACAGGGAGAAATAGGAAAGAGTGAGAGAGAAGTGGACATGTATTTTTAGTTGATTGGAATAATTGTATGTAGGAAAATGGTGTTCATTTTATGAGAATTTTGTCGTGTTTTATTGATAAGTTTTTGACGCATATCACCTTCAGTTATTTGTTGTATCGTAGTTACAACGTTGTATTGTAAATTGGGGAAGATCGTTAGTTTGACGTTGATTGTTTTCGAAGTTCACTTTAATTTTTTTATGAATAGGCGGTTTTAGAAATTGAAAATGATATCGGCAAGTGTATGATCAAAAAAGTTTTTATGAATGAATACTATTTAGATAACGTTTTTGTTACGTAAATAGTGTTGAGTGGAAATAAATTTTCAGCATAAATTCAGCAACAGAACATTGAGTCTAGTTAACCCTTTCAGGAAGGTGGTACAAGGGTTGTACCACATAGTTTTCCGTTGGGGAAAATATTTCATTTACACTTAAGTATTAAAACTCATTATACATAGAGGTTATAGAGTGCTCTAACTGTCATGTTATACATATCTTTCCGTGATGCTCTATGTATTCTTATCAGACATTCGTTTTTCGTTCTGTGACCGTACAATGACGTCATAGTTTCTCTTTCTTACTCTGACATGTGCTTTTACGAGAATGTTCGAGAAGATTCTCACCCTCTATTACTCTTGTATATGTATAGCTATTCTTTGAAAGGAAGGTAAATTATTTCTATATTTAATTTATCTATTCTATTTGTAATTGGAATTTCACTGATGGAATCCTTAGAAAACGATGAAGTCGATGACGACTCACGTTATTCGCTTACCAGTGAAGACAGCAACGAGAGTGACTTCAATTTCGACTATGATGAATTCGCAGATGATTTGGATGAACTTCAGATATCAAATGCATATTCGAATGAAGATGAAATGGAGATTGATTCAATGAGCGAAAGTTTTATTGGTGATGGTGGCTTTACGTCAATTTCTCGCAGGGATATAACGCCAATTGCAGTGTTCAGGAGATTTTTCACGGAAGAAATTCTGAACCTAACTACTGATCAAACAAACATTTACGGAAAACAGAAAGAACGCAGGAATAGTCAAAACAAAACTGATCGCTGGAAGGATGTGGGGATAAAAGATATTGAATCGTTTCTTGGGATAATTATTGTGATGGCAATCAATGACTGACCGGAAATGAAACTCTATTGGAGTAAAGACAATGTTTTTCATAATAGTTTCATCTCTGCGATCATGTCAAGAGATCGCTTTCTTTAAATCTTTTATAATTTACATCTTGCTGATAATTCATTGGAGCCAAAAAAGGAAACTGATCACTACAGTAAAATTTACAAAGTTAAGAATTTCATTGAAATTTTACTCGGAAATTTCCAGAAAAATTATAACTTTGGTCACTATGGTTCAATCGACGAAACTATGGTCAAATTCAAGGGAAGATCTAGTCTCAAGCAATACGTGCCTTTAAAACCAATAAAGAGAGGCTATAAACTTTGGTGTTTATGCGATTCCATTAATGGTTACTTATTCAACTGTAGAATGTACCAAGGAAAAGAAGAAACTAGTGAAAAAGAAACACTTTTGGCCGAAAGTAATGCTTTCACTCTTATTGCTGACCATCATTTCGAAGGAAGACATTTGTACTTCGATAACTTTTTAACTTCACTTCCGTTATTAGAGAAGCTAAAGCTGCGAAGAATAAGTGCCACAGGAACTATTCGGTCAGATCGGGTTGGTATTCCACCGCACTTTGCTCTGAAAGAGAAAATGGAACGAGGTGACCACAAGTCAGTTGTCATATCAAACACTATTATCTTCAAATGGATGGGTACGAAGCATGTCTTTCTAGTGTCAAACGACCGTGAAAACACTGAAATCGTTACAATCTCTCGACAGTTGAAAAACAAACAGCGCATTAAAATTAACTGCCCGAAAGCAATAAAAGACTACAACAAGTTTATACATGGAGTTGATCGGTTCAATCAAATAAAATCATGCTACACCTTTGGTCGAAAGTCTAGAAGGAACTGACTTCGGCTTTTCATTTTCTTCTTCAATGCATCTTTAACTAATTCATTTATCTGTTACAATCAATTAGGTCAGAATAAATTATCATACTTGAATTATTTGGTTTCCGTGGCTAAGTCTCTATGTTCTGGTGCTGAGCGAACAAACCTTGGACGATGGGATGCATTTGCCTGTCAAGGGAACCCGGAAGAGATGCGCTTATTGTAGCACAAAATAAGTGCAAGTTCCATCAACCATCGAATGCTCTACTTGTAAACTGGCTTTTTACCTAAAAGACGAGAAACATTGTTTTTTTGAATACCATAAAGTTTTTATGGAAAAATTTTGAGTCAGATTCAATAAACCGATAAAAAGAATCAATTTTTGATGAAAAAAGATTCCGTCCCGAAAGGGTTACTTATATGGTTGTAAGGAAATTTTAGGTAAATTCGAGAAACGTTCATTTGTTGGAGTTGAAAGATTGATGGAGATCATGGTGAAAGTTGCAATTGTGTCGGCCAGTGTAAGTTCGATAGGGTATATGTAAATGTATTTATATATATATGTATATTGTTTTTTTTTTCTTTCTTTCCATTTCTCTTTGTTGAACCGTTTCCCTTTGAGAGAAAAAGCATTTTCCTTTGAAAGAAAAACCATGTCTTTCTAACATCAAGTAGATATGCCATACATATGATAGATTATATGTCTATATATATAGATATATCTGTATTTTTTTCTTTCTTTCCATTTCTCCTTGATATGTGTGACTTTATGTAGGGTAAAGCGTTTTCCCATAAAGTGGAACAACTTCTCCCATCGACTGATCCA